GGTTTCCAACCATCCTTACTTCCTGTGCCCTACACAACTCAAACAGAAATGGCTGATGTTGGCAAGTCTAGGGGTCAATTGTATGCCTGGAGCCCTCCACAAACTATATAGACTGCCAAAAATGTTGAAAAGCAAATAAAAGAAAGCAACTGAGAGTATACAGTTGATTCTGAAAAAAAAGAAGAGAGATATTTTTGGTATCAAACATTATCAGGGGATCCCAGTGACCCATTTAGGCTTCCCTGAAGACAACTTTCTGCTGAAAAAGCAAGATTTCAGAGGATTCTAGTAAGACAATGCAAAAACACCCTTGAGCAAAGGGCACACGTAACTCATGGGCCATACTTTGATGGCTCCTGGTTTACAGTAATGCTTGTGCAACTGAAGGTTTCTACCATTAGAAACTGCCTTATTAGAAAAGATATCTGGATTTTTGTTATTAAAAGATTCTTAATTTTGACACTTATATAAAATTATTGAAATAATAATTCTCCCACATAATGCATGAAGGAATCTACTTCCCTCACTGCTATTTACCAGAATCATGAATAGGATCTGACTTTCCCACAGTAGCCACTGTAGTCAATGGTGGGAGATAAGGGAGGTGAAGGGATTATCATTTTCCTCCTTCTCAGTGCCTTGCCTTCCTAGGGACCACATGCCAAGCATCTGTTCCAGTAGCTGGCCAATCAAGGGCCTGTTGGTTGGCTAATAGGAAGGTACTCCTAGTCTGCAAGAGGACGATATATTGGCTGCTGGGGTGTGTTCCAGGCCAGTTTTCTTGGAGGCAGGGTTCCTCTTCCTCCTTAATATTGGCATGTGTAATTAATTTGCTTAATTCATGGTAGTTAGGATGTTCTTTTCCTTCATCCCAACTTTGAGCTGGTGACTTGGAATTGGGCTGGACCCATCTGGTAAATCCCCTTGGAAGTGGAGACAATCAGAGACCTGCCAAACTTAGGAGTGGTCCTTGTCTCATTCCAAGATGGCATGGGAGAAAGCACTGTGGAACCTATTTCTACCATCTCAAGAGTTTTACTGGGAGGCAGGCTGGATGTGAGGTTCATCAACTAGTACATGGATTGGCTGATCCTTGAATCCTTGAATCCATAGACTTGCACTGAGCTAAGGTTCTGTAGGCCTGTAATCACTACAATTACTGCCCTGCCAGCTCTACAAAAGGCGCATGTATATTGTTTCTGCTTGGGCTGCAGCTTCATCAATAGGCCAGTGACCTTGCAGATTTCAATTTCCACCACATTTTAATTTGCAGTCCCAAGAAATTAGTCATCAGCATATCACAGACGTTTTTGAATGGTATGATGCAGTCTTCTGTTTTAAAAACGTATAGAAAATATGTAGTTTTAAAAATATATATACATTTTTTCAAAGAGGATACATGCAATTTAATTATGGTTTTCTCTGTGTTATTTTAATTTAACTGGCATACCATTGATTGGAACAAAGTTATCATACACATGGGACATTGTCATAAACCAGAAACAGACTAACTATTGACTTGAAATACAAATTTTATAACTGTATTGTCTCCTGCTGCTTTAATTAAACCAACAGAGCCGCAGCAAGGTTTGGATTAAACCATTAGGCTCTTGGTTAAACAATGCATAATCAATTGCATAAGAATCTCCCACCTTCTGGTCTACTGGAGAGCAACAAGGCTCTCTAAAACATATATAATCCCCACCTGATTAAAAACATGAACATACAAATCTTTATTAACAGGCTGAATTTTATAGCCTGAATAAATTAAGGAAAACTAGGTGTGTGTGTGTGTGTGTGTGTGTATGTATCTCAAATTCTGCCTCATTTGATTTTGGTTTGGAAAAGGCAAAGTCCTTTGTAAGAAATGGGAGTATGATTGTCTCCCACTCTATCAAGCCTAATACAAAATTCTGCTGAGCCCTTTTTCTAATTTCTGAAATTTCAACAAGTACCTCTCCGTACTTTCAAGTCTGATCTTTGGAGCCCTATCAGTTTGGAAATTGTTTTTAAAAGATATATGGAAACAGAGTGTCTCAGAAGCACTGAACTGTACACCTATTGCAAGCCAATTTCCTGTTTCCACAGGATGATAGTAGAATACACACAAATCCTTATATTGTTTCTATGAACTGCTCCCTGAGAGACATGTTATCATCTGCTTTTCATCTCCAGCTCCATTTTCCAGGAATAAACAACTCTGCTGAATTTATGACATCTACTTTTACCAGGCATATGATTTGCAGCGATCTTTCACTTTACTGCAAGGGCTTTACTGTAAGGAGTTTGAATTTTAACTAATACAGATGGTATCTTGAGGTTTTCCTTTAAAAGGAAACTTAATTAGAACAAGCCTGATCTAATCCTAACAATGAGGATGTTTTGTGGTTCTGAAAAGATTACTTATTTATTGCATATGAACTTTTATATCAATGGCCTATGGCAGATACATGGAACAATTCTGAGAAGCTGTAGGTATTACCTACACTGAAAAAAGGTAGTAGGTTAGAAGTTTAAGGTTATTACTGTAATAAATCCTAAGAGTAGCTGTTTGTTTCCTGAGTGGTCCTGGGGTATTTTTAATCCGAAAGAGGACAGGAGAAGAACACAGTAGATCTTCCTATGAGAAGAAGAGATACATACATATCAAGCCATTGCTCTAGCACCTGCATTAGCAGGGAACAATCACTATTGCTGCTTGCCCAAGAGCTTGAATCAATGGGGATGAAATTAGCATTTGCAAGCACAATGGTGGTATATGCATTACCTCCTCTCGAAACTGCTGGATGAGTATAGTCATCCCTCCACATTTGTGGTTTCGACTTTTGCAAATTTAATTATTTACAGATTTGATTAAAAAGGTTTTCTCTTGGACTCTCTAGGTCTCCCAGTGTGACTCTATGGTCAACCTCCTCCAGTCATGCTGGAGGACAGGAATTTCTAGATAGAATACCTTTCTAAGAATTTCTAGGTCCTCCAATCAGATTCTGTGTTCACCTACCAGCATAAGTTGACTATAGAGTCATGCTGGAAGACCTAGAAATTCCTAGAGAGATGTTCCGTAAGTAAAAAAAAAAGAAGCAATTTCTTGATTTGTATTTTTTTTTCATTTTCATGGGGGTTCTGTGTCCTTAACTTCATCAAATTTGGAGGGCTGGCTGTACAGTATTGACCAGCCATTTCCCCACCCAGTCAAAATGGCTAGTCAAAATGGAATACTGGGTTATTGTAGGTTTTTCAGGCTACATGGCCATGTTCTAAAAGCATTCTCTCCTGACGTTTCGCCTGCATCTATGGCAGGCATCCTCAGAGGTTGTGAGGTCTGTTGGAACTAGGAAATTGGGGTTTATATATCTGTGGAATGTCCATGGTGGGAGAAAGAACTCTTGTCTATTGTTAGTGCCTGGGGAAAAGCTTTTGTTGACAGGTGATTAGTTGTCCCTGATAGTTTCCTCTCTGGAGTTGCCCTGTGTTTGAGTGTTGTTTTACTGTCATGATTTTAGAGATTTTTTTAAAATACTGACAGCCAGATTTTGTTCATTTTCATGGTTTCCTCCTTTCTGTTGAAACTGTCCACATGCTTATGGATTTCAATGGATTCTCTGTGTAGTCTGACATGGTGGTTGTTGGAGTGGTCCAGAATTTCTGTGTTCTCAAATAATATGCTGTGTCCAGGTTGGTTCATCAGGTGCTCTGCTATGACTGACTTCTCTGGTTGAACCAACCTGGACACAGCATATTATTTGAGAACACAGAAACACTGGACCACTCCAACAACCACCATGTCAGACTACAGAGAGAAGCCATTGAAATCCATAAGCAGTCTGCCTCCCACCCAGAATAATGTCCAGGATGGGAGAAAGAAAGAACCCTTGTCTGTTTTGGTGCTAAATTTGTAAATGCATTAATTATTACATAACATTACTGTGTATTGAACTGCTTTTTCTGTCAATTTGTTATAAAACATGATGTTTTGGTGCTTAATTTGTAAACTCATAACATAATTTGACCTTTAATAGGCTTTTTCTTAATACCTCCTTATTATCCAACATTTTTGCTTATCCAACGTTCTGCCTGCCTGTTTATGTTGGATAAGCAAGACTCTACTGTATTTCAAAATCCAAAAACTTGTGAAAATCCAAAATATTTTTAGTCCTATAAGGGATATTCAACCTTTATTTTGTGTTAATCTCAACTGTAAGCCACCTCCAGTCCCATATCAGGTGAGATATAAATTAATCCCACCAACCAACAGGTTCCTGATTTTCTTGGAACTAGACATCTATGCATGTAAAGACAGGATAAAAATGGAAATTGCTCAAGGTCTTTTAGTGTACCAATGTCACTCCAAAATACAATACTAGGTAGAGAAAGTACTGCCTTTTACAGATACTGTAGCCAGAGATATGGGGCACTACTTTGCTTAATACCCTGACAGTCTCATTATGTGCAGTTAGCTGCACAAGGACTCATTTTGCTTCCATATCAATGATCTTCTTTTTCTTGGATACTCTACAGATATGAAATAAAGGTATTATTTGACCCATATAGCTCTGCTAATCGTTAGCAATTTAAGAGCAGAAACCAGAAATGTCATTGTAGTTCATACAATCTCTATGTAGTCTTAAGACATGTAGAGTGAAAGAAACAGCTGCTCTCTTACCAAAAAAATCTAAGTGGTTAGGGAGGAGGGGGAAAGGGGGGGTGCATAACAAAAGAGGCAGTATTCCAGTTGGACAGACTGGAAAAGGGAATTATTTATTGGAGTTGGTTCCCTTTTTGAAGAGGCTTTCATAACTTACATTGAATGATTAGCACAGGCCTGAATGTAGTTTGGAAAAGCAAGTGGACATGGTAAGTTGTAGCTCAAAAACCACCAGATTAAGACAACATGATGAACCCAAATTACTTTTCTCACATAGTTGTTCAATTGCTATATATTTTAGAAAGATATAATCACAAGCTTTTAAACTAGGAATAAATATTTGTTTAGGGGCTACCTTAACGTTGAACGTTATTTCCTCCATGACGTAAACTCGTTCAGGAAATGCTTTAGCCACCTCCTCCACACTGTTAAAATATTGCACAGGCTCCTTAATATCACGGTCTTGTTCCAGCAGCTTAAACTGCCCTGAAAACAGATGATAAATAGAAGAGCAATAAGATATTTATATTGGCTGTTTCTTTGGCAACTGCTAACGCACTCCTTACACTATTTAACTTGGTCGGTTTCCTCAAATTATTAACAGTTAGGCAATGGAAGAACAGATTGCAGCAGTCTTCATGAACCTGAAAAGGAAAGAGCTACCAAGCTTGGCTAAACCAGAATTAGAAGAATGTGTGGGGGCCGACATGAAATTTAATAGAATTTACAGGCAAGCCCTCTGGAAGTTGACTGAAAGTACTAATGTGGTCTCAGAATGGAAACAGACACAAACTTCTGTACACTGAGAACTTTTCCAACATGTTACAATACTTTAGGATTTAAAAGAACAGACGTAGTTTCTACAGGAAAATAGATTTCAGAAAACAAACAAATGAACCAAAATTACAGATATTTATGAAGTGAACAAACGGTCTGTTTTCCAAGTCACAAAAGCCCCCCTCCTCCAACACATTCTTGGGACCAGAAATGTTGGATGAATTCACTAGAATTCCTTTCTGCTTCATTTTTGGACACAGCTCTTTGCGATACTTCTTTACCTATCCTTCAAGTCCTCCCCTTCCTCCAGTGATTATGGTGCAGGCTGCATCTGTGCATAGATAAGCACATAGAACAGGACCACAAAGCACTATATTGAAATCATCAGAAACAGGATGCCAATTTGAAGAGAGAGTTTGCAAAAAGGTGCAACTGACAAATTCTGGAATTCTGGAAAACACTATACTGCTCTTCAGAATGAGAGAAGTTTTGTGCATGTATTAATTCTGTAGGCTTTGTCAAGGCCACCAGATCAAAGAAATTGCATGACACTTAAGATGAAGCAAAGCTATTTGGTGCTTTGTAAAAAAAAGAAAGCCCGCCATTATTCTGTTCACTGAGAAAGACCCCAAGTCTCCGGAGATTGTGCCCCAAGGCTGCCATGTTTCCGAGCATGTGTGTATCTCTCCCTACTATAAATAAAGTTGAGGTAAAGCCAAAAAGCAGAGATGTATATATGATACCCAAAAAAGATGGACAAAATAACCCTTATGCTCTGAAACAGCCAACAGCAAGTTTCCCCTCCTTCAAAGGCCTCAAAGAAGAGAGTAGCAGACCAACTGCAGCAAACTCTGTCCTTACGGGTTGTTGTAGGTTTTTTTGGACTATATGGCCATGGTCTAGAGGCATTCTCTCCTGATGTTTCGCCTGCATCTATGGCAAGCATCCTCAACAGCCCAGTGATTACGGCCATGAAAGCCTTCGACAATACTCTGTTCTTACGGTTAGGTTGAGAAATAGGAGATTGGAAACTAAACTTTTTTTCCAAAAATATACCATCTCATTTTTTATCTACTGGAATGTTGTACCAGAATATATAGGTTTACAAGAACTAATTTGACTGTTTTATGGGCAAAATAACTCCATCATACCAATTTTTAGTTGTGTGAACATTATGCAAAGCATAAGAAGTAAGTTTAACATTATATTTTGGTAGCATTTGCCACATTCACTAGGACAGAAGTAGAAATGGCTTGTCCCATCAAACATTTTGGATGACAGTGTCTACAAGCTTTGGGTTTGCTAGTGAAGACTTCTAGGAATTGACACAAAAAACATCTGGAGGAACAAATGTTCTCCATCCCTGTTTTAGGGTCTTAGTAAAACGGATTTGAGAAGATTTTAATTAACTGCAAGGATTGGAGAAAATCTGGTTTACATTTCATGTTCTTCTCGTTGACATTTTCATTTTGCAGAAAATGGAAGTTTAAAGTGCAGAAAGTACAACTGGGAATACAAATGTCTATGCAATTTAGACTGAATGGAAATGATTTGTAAAGCAAAACTTATTTTGAGAAATCCTTCTCAGGAAACAGTAACAAATGTGGTGCCCTGTATTACTTTGTATGAAAACGAAGTAGCATAATCTCAATTTGGTGTGCTTCAGATGTCTTCATTCCCACCACATGCAGATAATGGTATAAGACAGCCAGTGTGGGGTTGAGTGTTGGAATGTCACTCTGAGAGACCACAGTTTGAGTCCCCTCATAGCCATGGAAATGCAATGGTTGACCTTAGGAAAGTCATACTCTCTCAGCTTCAGAGGAAGGCAAAGGCAAGCTCTGAATACGTTTTGTCAAGAAAATCCTGTAACAGAACTGTCAAAAGTCAAATGCAATCTGAAGGCACACAACAATAGCAGAAGGACTAATACCTGGTAGACAACAAGGTGAACACGGATGAACTACATAATCTTCAGGTATGAACTGTGACAGAAATATCTAGGTGGCTATGCTAACCTCATAAATCTCCAGATTCCAGGTAAGTGAAGTATGTTGTTGGACATTCTGCTTCTCTGTAATTTTTGGAATTGGCTTCTAGTGGAAGAGAACTACTACATGAGCATTGTACAGCCATGGTGATATCACTGTACTTGGCTTTCACCTTTCTAAAATAGGAGCCCCCGGTGGCGCAATGGATTAAGCACTTGTGCCGGCAGGATTGCTGACCGATCTGGGGAAAGTGGGTTGAGCTCCCTCTGTCAGCTCTAGCTCCCCACAAGGATAGTAAAAAACATCAAAACATCCAGGCATCCCCTGGGCAACGTCCTTGAAGGTGGCTAATTCTCTCACACCAGAAGCAACTTGCAGTTTCTCAAGTTGCTCCTGAAATAGAAAAAAACCCAAAAAAACAAAACCCTTATTTTAATTCTGAAGCATTGGATTTATTTATTTTTTTAAAAAAGATTACAATTGATAGTAACCACTGATCTACGCACTAAAATGTCATGCTAGAGAGATCAGGGTGGTGGCAGTGAAGAAAGAGGCTGGGAACTCCCACTCCCCATTGCTTTTTATTCTTCTGCTGAAAAGGCTTGCTGAATTCGCTACTCCTACATCAGGCACTCCTTTTAAACAGAAGAACTTGTTTCATTCATTGCAAACTTGCTTATTGAGCATTCTTCTATGCCTTTTAGGTTTTGACCCTGGTCCATGTTAAACAGACTGTGGTGGAAGTGTAGGATGTTGTATAGTAAAAAATTCCATTTGACAGGGACAGTTATGTAAACATTTCTGCTTCTGCCTGGAACTCTGGATAGAACAAACAAGCCTTGAAAGAAAAACCGCTTTCAGAAAGAAGCATTTTTGAAAATGTACATAGATCAGTTCCATGTAAAAGACTGCTTTTGACTCACAAGCAGGAAGCTTTTAAATATAGTGAATGGGAGAAGACTGAAAGCCAAAAGAGACAACCTATAGCCTTTGGCAATATATATTCATAGCACTTTATGATGTGGGATGATATTGATTCTAGTTTATTCAAAGTTTGGCATTTCAAGAGCCAACAGCTATAACTTGCATATGTGCAATGAAGCAACATTTAAAAACAAAAAGGCACTTTGGATTGTTGAATACTGTCATATTCTTCATTCTTCAATGTATCATGTCTGCATTTTCTCCTTATACAACATCACACTAAAAAGAGGCTGAAAATATTTTCCCATCAGCAAAGGAAGTTTCCCTCAAGTGAGGAGACAGTGATTGATATGTTCCACAAAGCATTAGAATCACCCATGTGTAAAAATGGCAAATATGCTCATTATGTCTATTTTAATTATATAGTTTAGAATAGCATATAAATCAGCATAATGTAGCACTTGTTTAAATATAAACTGAACATTTTAGATAAAAACCAGAATATCCAACAAGGCCTCAATGGAGCTAGTCTTTCTGAAATGACCTGTTTAAAAGTTATTTTGAGCCAATTTGTAACACACCATATTACAATGACATTACAGTAACAAGGACAAGCTAGAAGAGAACCAGAGTTTATCTAACAGATCATTCTGCCACTTCTTATATGATTTTCTGTTACTAAATAAGAGTGATATATTCACAAAAAAGTCATTTTACCCAAACCCTCTAACTTTAATAGACTGTTTGAACTGACAGCTATGGATTCACTTGGAGGATGACTTGTAATGGTAAATTGTTTTAATGTATTTACAGTGTTCCCTCACTTATCATGGGTGTTATGTTCCAGGACCACCCACAGAAAGTGAAAATCCATGAAGTAGGGACGCTATATCTGTATATTGTGTTCCGAGGGTGAGGCAGAAGCAAGGAGAGATTTGAAAGCACCGCACACCTTTTTTTTTTTTGCTAGCCAATTCTGCTTTACTTTGCAATATCTCTCGATTGGCTGCCTCTCTCCCAAGGGGGAAGATGAAACCCCCTTCCACACTCCATCGTTGCCAGGAGGTGGGATTAGAACACTGCTCTGGGCAACAGCAATCATTCATAAACTGGGAGGCAAAAACCCACAAAACAGCAAATCCGTGAAAAGCGAACCGCGAAGTAGTGAGGGAACAATATATAACTGTTTTTAATGTAGGTTAAATGTATTTTATGCTCTATATTGTTTGGCACCAAATGGTGCCTGCTGGTAGCCATCCTGAGTCCCCCTTTGGAGGCTAAAAGGACAGGATAGAAATGCTCTCAATAAACAAACAAACAAACAAACTTGCCGTCAAATCTGTCATTCACCAGCCTGATAACCAAATCTGTCATTCACTAGCTTGATAACCCCTGGTGGTGCAATGGGTTAAGCCATTGTGTTGGCAGGACTTGCTGAATGACAGGTCAGTGGTTCAAATCCGGAGAGAGCGGGTTGAGCTCCCCCTGTCAGCTTCAGCTCCCCATGCAGGGACATGAGAGAAACCTCCCACAAGGATGGTAAGATCATCAAAACATCTGGGCATCCCCTGGGCAACGTCCTCACAGACGGCCAATTCTCTCACACCAGAAGTAACTTGCAGTTTCCCAAGTCACTTCTGACACAGAAAAAAACTCTAAAACTTTACTTTTACTTTTGTGGAATTTGAACCCTGGTGTCCAACATTCTTGGTGGATCAGGAAATGCACCATTTAACCCTTTTCAGAATTATGCTGTTGACTGGATTGTTGTGATATCCCGGTGATACACATCAT